ACATTTCCCCGTGGGGTGCAGAATGGTGATCTGCTTTCATTAGGGGGTACATATAACCATTTCCTCCTCCTGTATCTTTCTCCTCAAATATGAACCATAAGTCTCAGAATAAGCACTCATTCCTTTAGCGAGGCTGGCTAGTATGTTGACTTGCCTTGTCCTCTCCTAAGCTGGCTATTATGATGTTAGGGGACGTCAAGCTGAGGACTTGTGAAGCACAGAGGTGCCAATTTCTGTGCCAGGCACTGGGGCCTAGTAAGTGGTTCTGCCTCTCACCAGCTGTGTGACCTTGAGAAACTGTCCCAGTTCCCTTCAGATTTATTAGATGAGGAAACTTAATAGTTTTATACAACCATTTAAAGTATTATATATGTTATACAAAGGACTTAGTGCCTGGCACATCATAGAAGGTGCTCAGTTCATGAGTGAGGATGACGATGGCAAATAGACTGAAGATCCCTGCCCTTGGGGAGCTTATGTCTCCGCCTCACCTTATTAAGCACAGAACTGAGGGCAGGTTCTCCATCTGCAGATTCGACGGCCAATGTTGTTTGCCAACATTCAGTGAGGGGCGAAATAAGGGACTCACTCCTTTTCGTGTTCTGTTCTTAGTCTCTACTCCCCCAGATTCCTAGTCCCAACTGAAACCCTGTGCTATATAATATTCTGAATACACAGTATGGTTATTTTGGGACTTAAGAATCCATATAACTAGTTCAGCCAGAGAAAGCACAATTTAGCATTCAGATCTGCTGGCAGCCAGACCTTCCCTAACCCAGGCGTGTGCACATGCGTATGTCCATGTTTATTAGCGGGGGCAGAAGGAGGGGAGAAAGCCATGTTTAGGAATGAAAAGAAGAAAAACAACCACCAACCAACCAACCTTTTAGGAAAAAACAACTCAGGACAAGGCTTACGGTCTCTCCATTTCCCTTTAATACTGAATAGCATTCTTTACACAGTTGTAACATGATTTCAAGTGCAGAAGAAACAAGACTGATAGATTTCAGGGTGTAAAAATACCACTTTAAAAGATGGCTAGTTGAGGTTTTATTTTACACAAGTATGAAAACAATTTTTCTTCAAGTTTATAGTGTCATCAAATTTTGTTTAATGTCAGGATTACAACCAACGCTGTGGAAGATGTTTCATTTTGCAGGGATGGTTTACTGTAGCCTAAATTCCGCAATGCAGTAGCAGTGGTTCTCAAACTGGAGTGGGACTCAGTCTCCTGAGGGGCTTGCTAACCACAGCATGCCGGCCCCACCCCCAGGCTGTGATTCAGAGCCTGGACATCAGTATTTCTAGCACGTTCCCAGGGGATGCTGCCACCGCTGGTCCCACAGCACACTTGTAGAGAAGCAAGCTCTATCTACCTGTGGCGAGGGCTGTAAACTTCTGGCACTAGGGCTCTGGAGCTCTCCTTGGGGGTGGGGGGTGGGGGAAGCACCACCTGGAAATCACCCAGGTATTTTCAGTTCTAATCCTTGCTCTCACGTCTTTAGTTTGTACCTTCTAGTTATTTAAAAATAAAACGCTATAAGGTTATTTTCCCTTGCAAGAAAAATACGACGGTTTAGTCCTGCTGAGCATTGCCATGTATTACACATTCTATTTTTAAATTACACTTAATTTCTAATAACAAGTGAGCCAGTGAAAGCATATTTCCACTTACGAAAAATGAATCCATAATCATTTACAGCTTGCTTTCTTTGGCCCTTCCCTGGTTTCCAGGCTATTGCCCTGGGCATTCTCCCAGCCTGGGTCAGTTAGGACACAATCACATGGCATTTACAAGCAGTTCCAATAACTTATTAGGGACACCTTATTAGGGACACCTGGTTGGCCTCTCCTCACCCCGCACAGACAACAGGGCACACTATTTTCCTGAGGACTAGGACGTCTGCCTCTCCCAGAACAGACCTTAATTGCTAGGTCAAAACAGCCATTCAGTAGTGGGTCTCAGTTAAACCTACTTTCTGCGGAGCAGGAAAGAACCCCCTTGAACTTGGCCCCTCCCCGGGGCTGACAGAAAGCTTGGCTCAAGTGGAGCACTGGCTGCCACCAGGGCCAGGGGACCTTCGGTCAGAGCATAACAATACCGGGTGGTCTTGTATCTGACACCCCCCCCCCAAGTAATCAAGTGACTTCTGGGTTTGAAAACTCGTAACTTCAAAAAGAAATGGTAAAATACACTTCTCACAAGGGTTGGTCTGGCTGTGTTTGGCAAACACTCATGAAATGTCCACATGAAAGCCAAGCAGCAGGGCAGGTCCCAGGTGATCTAGGCCCAGGCCCCACAGCACAGCCTCCGGCAAGGGCGAAGGTCACATCAGAAGGAAAACTGCCCCAACGTGAGCTTACGTCAGAGGGAAGGAAACAAGTATTTTTTCTTTCTTCCTCCCCTCCCCAAATATCTGTATCAGTAAAGAGACTCTAACAGAGAGAACTCCTATATATACTGTCCACAGCAGCAACATGACCCAGGCTTTAGTCTTTGTCCAACAGCAAACATCAAACAGCTGGGGTGACTATGACAAGCTACTGCCAGCCTATCTAAGTCATGTCACAGGTCAGCTTGTCCCAGAGTGTGCGGCCCCTGGGCCAAGCCCAGGATGCAGTGCACCAAGTGACCTCCATGTCTGTTGGGAGAGCTTTCACTGTTTCATCTTTAAAACAAGGAGACTGAACAAAGTGATCAAGTCCACTGAGCCTACCATTAGAGACACTAACCCCAGAAGCCAGCTGGCTTAGAGCTTCGGCCCCAGCAGCAGGCTTCAGTCTTGGAGGGGCGCAGCAGGGCGGTTCCAGTCTGCCCTGCTCTCTAGTGGAGTGCTCTACTCTTGATTTCTGGACGCCACCCAGACAACAGTTTCCAAATGAGCATTACAGTCAGCATGGTGAGAATGACTGACAGAGGCAGGCCTCTGAGAGCAGGACCTCCTTATTTTAATTAAGCCTAAGCATATATTTTGTGAAGGCTGGGAGCTGGGTAAGGGCGGTGGCCATTACAGAAAGACCACCTGCTTTTATCAGGCCAGCCAGGTGCCCTCACTGAGAAGCAGAGGCTGGGGGAGAGCCTCTGATGGGCTCACAGGACCTTCACACAGAGCACTGTCTTCGAGACCTGACCTTGGTCAGGGAAGGGGCAGAGGGACTGAGGGGCTGCAAGTCTGCAAATCCTTTACTTTCACTGTCTCTCTGCTCTTGATGGACAAAGGACAGTCTTTAAGAAAATAAATTATTCTTAAAATATCTGGGAGGGAAAGCGATGCCAGCAAGAGGAAGACAGAGAATGAAAGGTAGTGCATTCCATAGTTAGAACCTCAGCTTGCCACAGTCCGAATTTTGTGTAGTTTACAATTCAACCTGCAGTTTACAAGGTAAAGCTGACAGTTCAAAGTCCACAGAGTTGAAAAGCAACTCATATCTTATCATTCAGTATATAGATCTTCCAATGCCATGAATTCTCTGGAAAGGTACCGGGCTTGCTTTACAGCCAGGAAATTACCAAAAGAAAAATCCTGGCTCTGCTACCTTCACATACAGAAGGTACAGCACTTAACAGAGACAGATTTCACTGGGAGTTAGACCGATTGCTCTTCACAGCCCTTAATCTCACGAGGTGGAAGGAGGGGAAGTTGCCAAGTCGTTGGCTCCCAGACCCATCAGTCTGTCTAACTCTGGCTAAAAGCAGAGAATAGTGGGCAAGTTACCAAGTTTCTCCCCCTTGGGCTCTCGTGTGAAGAGCCTCATGCAGCACACAACTGCCACACGTAGTGGCACACAGGGAGCCCTGTGACTGTTCACAGTTCACACAAAGACGAGATCAAAGGTTAGACTGGAAACTGTGATTCGGTTTTGCAGTTGGGTTCCCACTCTGGCAGACTCAGTGGTTCGCTCCCCACTCTACCCCCATTTCAGCTGATTAGTAAAATATTCTTCCCATAAACATACGCTGAGTTTTCTCTGTACCTGTCCCATTCTGCCGGTTCTCTAGATGAGCATGGGACGAGGTGTGAGGACTGAAGGAGGAAAGGAGCCCATCTTTGCTACAGGATGTGAGTCTAGAGCCTAACCATACTGAGGCCCCTGGCTTGTTCTCTTTGGTCACCAGTTTGGAGTCTGAGTGAAGGGCCCACAGATGATCACTTGTCTGTAGTGACCGCCCAGTCTGGGAACAAGAGGCTCAGACCCAGGGTGAAGCCAGTGGGGCCAGAAGTGAAGCCTGGGGCAGAGCCGGCTCTGAGAATACACTACGAGAGCAGCTCCTTCGAGCTGAGGAAAGCTGTGGCCTGTAGGGAGAATGCACGCGGTGCTTATATTTTCAATATATGTTCTCTTTCTAAATATTTCTCTTCAGCTTTAGCCCGTGAGGCTGCTTTACAATAGCCACTGTTTAGCTAACTCCTGAAATGGGTGAGGTCAGCACGCCAATTCTAAATATATCCAAACATTGAGTAATTAAGCCTCAGGGTCACAAAACTTGGTCCCTGAAGTCAGGGGAGCATCTTACTCATTAACGATCAGGCGTGTTCCCACAGGCCCTCCTGACACACGACAGGTCCTCGGGGCACAGTAAATCTGGTACGACCGCAAACAACGGCAGGGCTCGTAAGCAGGGCAGTCACGTAGTTCAGACTCCGGCTGCTTCGTGTAACATGGAGAGCGTGGAGGAGAGTACTAACTCAGACAAGGTCCACATGTTAACCAAGTTTTAACAAAGACTTGTATATTTAATGCAAACGTAAGGACCGTCCCCGGTTTAAGTTTATAGAAGGCTATTTGAATGCCTCAAAACTTTGTAAAACAAATAATCCAGTACCCGACATCTGAAGCCCTTTGTAATAATTACCTTTTTTTGCTTATTGTATATCAAATAGAGTTGAGTGTAAACGTGGGTGTCAGCCACCCTTTCAGTCTGTAAATCTACTTTTAGCTTTCAGCAACACGCAGACTGCCTTACCTACCACCATCCTACACATGAGAAAATACCCTTCTTTAAAAAATTGTTACAAATATTTATTAAAAAGTGCAATTCAAAAGTTAGCTAGGCAAGTACATGGTTGCAAATCACAAAAAAGTAGACAGAATAAAAGCCCCGAACAAAACAAAAACCAGGAAATACAAACAAAGCAAGAAAACAAGTTTGAAAAAGTTAGGAACGGACCCCAAATGATGAGGAAATGAGAAGTGAAAGCTAGAACTCTATCGAGATGTCACCGCGCTTTCCTCGTGCAAGAGGGTGGTGAAGACGCAGCCTTGGCACCGGGCTGACTGGGTTCAGCTGCGACTTCAGTATTACGTTCCTCACCAGGGAGGTTACAAAAATATCCTACACACGTGCACGCTGGAAGCATTTAAAGGGTCACCAGAAGCTTGAAGTTTAGTGTCTCAGCAACTAAAACTCAACAGAAGCATCTGTTACTTAAATTTGGATCGGCTCAGTGATTTGAGTGGATGACAAAAATCAAGTTGTCACCTTAGGGGGGAAAAACCAACCAAACCCCTTTTTGCCATTACTCGCAGGGCAAGAAAAGCCTGGTCCAGAACTAGCCTTTTTTGTTATTACAGCTTCTGACTAAATGTAATAAATGTGCTAACCATTCCCAATCCCATCCACCAAGGTAGAGAGAGTGCCATAGGATCTAAATCCATTCCAGTGCGCCGCTCGGCAGCCACATGTTTAAGGGTCATCCTAAAAACACAAGTTGCACCGTTGGGGAGGGGGCTGCCGGACAGCCACCTGCACTCAGCCAGGCTCTGACCTCCCCCGGCCTCGCCCACCCTTCCCGCAGCTGTGCACACTCGGTCCTGCTGCCCTGCTTCCCTGCTTCCCTTCAATTCAAGACACAAGTTGTTAGCACTCCCAAAACCCAGTGTTTTTCATCATTTCCCATTATTCTTACTGCAAAAAAATGTGCCTGGAAAAGCAATTTTAGCCCTGCACTTATCCCTGCAAAAAGAACCACTGCATTTTCTTCACAAACTGCTTCTGGGCCTTCCGTCCCTGTAATGACCAGCTCTCAGGGGCTAAAGAACACTCCACAAGGAGCAGTGGAGGGGACCCAGGAGCCCCATTCCCGACAGGTCCTTCAGGATGGGACAGTGGCTGTCTGAGCAGAGAGAGGGTCTGAGCAGGAGAAAAGAGCCGCCAAAGATGGATGCAATGAGCAGCAGCGAACACTAGCTGAGTCTGGGGATTTTCCTGGATTCTCAGAGGCCCTCCACGGGGAACGAGGTCCAGGGAAGCAAAGCAGTGGCGAGTTGTCCTCAGGACAGGACAGGAGGTGCCCGGAGTGTGCAGCTGTTAGGTCTTCTTCCCACCGGCCCCTCCAGCGCTGGGACGGAGGAGCTGCCTCAATGGTGGGGTCACACAGAGAAAAGTCAGCGTGGGCTGTGTTCCCAGGAGAGGAAGGTGGGAGCGGCACAGCGTGGCGGCTTGTCCTCGCCGGTTCCTGTGCTGTCACAGCACTAAGAAGAGGAGCAGCACGACCAGCAGGACCGCAAAAAGGATGGCTATGGCACACCACTGGCGCCGATCTGCGAGGCAGGACACGAGGGTTAGCTCTCAGGACTTGACATTCCCCGAGATACAGTCATATGAAACTTAAGGCCACGCGTTGAAGCAGAAAAGCGACAGAATGTGCAAATGACGGGGGCAGAGAGGCTCTTGAACCCGCCCGGGCGCCTGGCCCTCCCCCACTGCCCAGCTCCGGGCTGCGCCACCCCGGAGCTGCCCGTGACAGGTACGGGCTCCGTGTCTTGTCTCTAATTAAAACCTGTGTCTCAGTCTTTAATTAAAGCCTGTGGCTCTTAGCTTTCTGCGGGTGGTTACCGCATCCCTGGAAAAGGTGTTGGCCCTGGCATTACGGGTCAAAGCCCATCTGCTTTAATCTCCCACCGAAATCAAATCACCTAAATCAGCAATGATCCTGTCCTATTGTCAGAGCACTGTGGGGGATGGAAAGGGGATGAAAGCTACGCTGGTCACTGCGGGAAATGAAGAGCTGAAGAAGCCAGCTCCAGGGATCCCGAGCGTGACTGGTGACACACACCAAGTCAAGAAAGAAGTATGAGTACTTAACCAGTGACCGTGTTCAAGTAACTTACACAGCTTCTCTGTAAATGGAAGTGAACCGCCTTTTCTGAAACTTTCTGCCCCACCAACGATTTAGAAAAGGCACAGGAAATAAGGTGGCTAGAGTCCATCTAAGTGGCTGAGAGCAAGGAGGCCCTGAGGGACAGAAGGGTCCACGCAGGCCCTGGGGGAATCCCAGCTGCAGCCCAAACCCTGATGCGGACCCCCTAACTCCACAATGGCTGCCTCACAGGGCTGCTTCTGTGAGAGCTAAATAAGAACACCCTCGCACACATTCTGAGGGCCACAGGCACAGGCTGTGTCCTTGTCAGGATGGTTCCTTAACTTGGGTAGATGTAGAAAGCAAGTGGTCTTTCCATTGATGAGTCCTGCCATTTTTCACAGATGGTCAGGTCAGACTGATAGAAAAGAGTTTCACTAGCCTATGAAAATATAGGTCAACTGCTAGAAATAAGAGTTCCATTTAAATAGAACTGTCAAAGAATACTGACCCATCAGAAGTTTATTTGAAAGCCTGAACATTTTAACACGCCATGGTTACTGAGAATCATATTATAAAAAGGTCTGAATCTAGGAAAGTAGATTGTACAACTTTCCGCAAGTCAACGCTAAGTCCAAAAAACATGAACTTAAATTATTTAAATGCTCTGGAGAGCAAAATCTTAAAAGGACCCAATACAACTTCTACTAACTGACATAAGTGAAGCAAATACCTTCTTAGTGATGACCAGCTTGCTCTGCCTCAAACATGCTAGAAACGTACTTCATAACTGTGATTAGGACAAAAACCCCAAGCCTACATGTTTCTTTTCTGAAGAGCTGGCCTACTCCAGATACTATTTTTAATCAGCTTAACTATCACTTTAATGGTGGAGAGCACTACATAACATTCTTTCATCTATTTTAAAATGTTTACAATAATTTAAAACCACCGTCACTGAAAACAGTCCATATTCTTCCAGGACAAAACAGCCCAGGTAATTGCTTCCTAACCACCCTACCTTCATCTCACACCTAATTCCTGCACTTATCCCCAACCCCCAGGCATCCTGCCATTTTCAAAACCAGATTTCCACCTTTTGGCTTTGATCAGCTTCTACGAACCCTCTCCCCACCTCCAATCACTTTCTTGTCTGCGATTGCATTAAGTAGGGGTTTTCATCAAGGAGACCATCATCCATCACACAAGCCAGCACAGCCCAGGAATGCTCTCTAAAGCCATGTTCCTTTGAAGTGGTAAGTTGCTTCTATGAAGCATGTACTAGGGAACCCCAGGGAGCTGTTACCTGAGCTGACTTCTCCGGAGAAAGGGAGAAGGGCGGGACTAACCACAAGGGCTTTTGTGACCTCAAGGGAAAAGTCCTAACTGGCTTTCTGCAAGCTGGAAACTGGCCTCAGAGAGCACAGAGGAAAAAAGGGAACTCCAGTGGTAGGGGTTTTTCCCTCCCCTAAGAAAAAAGATGAACAGTAGAAGTTTGGAAATGAGGGGAAGAAACCCAGGTATCTACTCATAAGGGATATGCTTCGGGCAGGAGAATGACAAGATAGTGTGTCTCTTGCGTAAGCAGCCGGCCATGGAAGAGCATTTGTTCGGTCTCAAGAACCGTGGAACGTTTGTTCAGTTACTGCCTAACTGAACTTCAGTGTGTCTTGATATACTTTCTGTATGTACAGGTTTGATTAAAAAGCAGTGAACTTTCCCAAAAGTTATGGAGGACAGAGACAAATACAAATTGCCATGTCCTTGAACTGAAACAGACACCACCAGGCAGGAGGCCCTGGAACAATCTTTCTTGGGGAGCAAGCAAAGATGAAAATGAAAACCACAGGCAAGCTGTCCAAACTGAAGGGCCTTTCAGGCCAAATGCTGTGTTTCCTGTCTCTCTTTCCTAGACAAATATAACTAAAGTTCTTACTTTGCCCCCCAAACCTTTCTTTTGGGAGAAAGTAGAATAAAACATAAGCAAGTTTTGGTGCTATTTATACACACTGGACAGCTTATCACAATGCAAGTACTTTTCTAAATTATTCATACCCGGAATGCTGGGAAGCACAGATACAGAGCATCTTTGTTCATTCGCTCTTCCCCAAACAAAACTGGTGCTGAAGTAGCTACTTGACTTTGTGACTAATACATATACTAGTGAGAGGCCAGGGGTTTAAAGTGGTTATATAATACTTCATTAACGCCTTGGGTTTTTTTTTTTAAAAGCAGAGAGGTGGGGGTGGAAAAGGAGAGAACAGAGGAAATCAGAACCTTTCAAAGTGTCAAAGATGAACTGAGTTGTGCCGCTTCAGCACTGACGAGCCTGTTAGAAGCATAAGTACACCTGATCCTGGGAAGAAAGAAGGCAGTAAGCCTGGCTATGAGCTGCCCTTTGATTTGGACATAACAGGTCATTGCCCCTTAGGGCCATCTTCTGCCTGTCTTACGATTTTTTAAAAACAAACATTTACTAAGTACTAAAATACATGGGAGACACTGTTAAACACTTGTACATTAATTATTACTATTTCATTTAATCCTCGCAATGACTTTGAGAGCCAGGCATCACCCTGTTTTTTAATCAACAAGAAAATGAGCCTCAGAGAACTGTTAATGTAACTTGACTATGAGTTAAACTGCTGAAAAGCAAATAGACACGTGTATTTAAATCTTGCCTCCAAAAGCTAGACTATTAGACTCTGTAACAGGTACCTGATGGGGAAACCAATAGAAAAATGAGGCGTCTCAAAACTGAGGATGTTCTCGGGGGAGGGGTGCTAGGGCTCAAGAACACTTACGTTTATCTCTAGGCCCGTCCTGGTTCCTCCTTTCACCACCCCATCCCCACCAAGCAAAGAAAAAAAGAAATACTGAATTTTCTTTTATTTAAAATATATTATTTCTCATGCAATAGGGGAGATAGGTTGTAGTAATCAAAAAAACAGAGTCACGAACACACCTTCCTATTAGTAACTAACTTGAAAAATGTTACTTCTTCATCCACATGTTGGTGACAATTTGCTGGAATATTTTACTGTGGACTTAAATATAAACAATTTAAATTAGATCTGCAAGGAAATCTTTTTCTGAAATGGTGGGGGTGTTTCTTTTAATGAAGTCAGTCCAGGAGAAATAGTAACTGGCTCCTTAATTACTATTTTAAAATAAGTCCCCTATTTTGGCAAGGAAATAGGAAACAAAGAAATAAAGGATTTTTTAATTGCATAAAAGTTGCTCCACCAGGAGAAAAGCCACCAACCACCAACCACTTGTGGACAATGTGCCACAGGAAAGGGATCTGAATGGGCACACTGTGCAAGAATCCCCAGAAACTGTTCCTAGAATTAAGCAGGAATTCTTAAGCTTTAAACACCATACATACCACTGGTCATGTGAGATACTTTTGCAAGTTTCTTCATCACATTGTCCAGCCGAGACTGAGTGCTCTCCAACTCGTGAGAGAAATCATCCAGCATACTAGAAAGAAGCAGGTGTGGAAGTCAGCTGGTAAACAAAGCCTCAGCGATGCACCGGTCACAATGCAATCAGGCTCTAGGCCTTAGTTTAGCAAACATACAGGCAACACTGGGATTCAAGCCCCCAATCAATTACCTGAAATCCTTGGGAAAGATATATTTTTGAATTCAGAATTTTTGGAATTTAAAAAAGTAATTTCTTATATGCCACATACTAGCCAATATCCTAAGCAGGACCTGGGGGAGTCCTCCGTAATCACACATGAATATTTCTGTAGCAAAATCTGAGCTTGGGCTAAGTTAGGGCTCTCAAGGCACCACACACTTCCCCATCACAGCGGTTCCCCCTCTTTTCTGTCACCACTTAGTGACTTGCATTCATTTACAACATGTCCAGTCTACCCAGTAAATGGTAGACTCTCTGATGGCAGAGACACTGACTGTTCTGTTTGTTCCTCTACTGATCCCCAGGGCTTCCCAGAACAGGTGCACAGTTTACATTTATAATAAATGAATGTATAACACTGAACACAAAACTGAGATAGGAGACTCTCTGATATATCCTAGTGGACTATTTCACTTTTTTTCAGAAAAAAAATGCAGCATAGAATGGTAAAGGTATTATGTAGTAGCATTTAATAATGCTGATTTTGATGTCATATTTCATAGTTTAAACAGATTGTGCTTAAGGAAAAAGAAATAAACCCAGCTGTTTCCTTGTGTGTTTTTACTTTTGATTTTGGAGGGGAAGATTTTTTATTAATTGGATTTAAATTTTTAAGTTTTTCTCATGAAATTGAAATTTAAGATGCAAAGCAAAAAGTTTTGTTTGATATAGTGGGAGAGTCATGGGATGATAACATTAGCTCATGTCCTATCCTCTGTGGGACACAAATCTCCAGAGGTTACACAGCCAAGTCTGTTTCTCATTCCCACTATTCACAACAATACTTCAGGTACCTGCTCAGAGGAATTTGTTTTTGCAGGTGCTGGGGGAAAAAAAAATCATAATTTTGCCTAAACCCTGTTGACTATTTTAACTGATAATTTGCTTCTTTTGCAGAGAGGCTAGTCTAGAAAACAATAAAGAAAATAGTTTTTGGTTTTACTAGTCATGTAACTGTCAGGCTTGTTAGGGTCCTGTAAGATGGCTCTTCCCCTCAATTTCACTGCCCTGAGAGGGGCGTCTCATGCTCACACTGCCTGTTCCTCCAGCTCCCCTCCGATGCGCTGGGACATGTTCTTCAGCACCCCGATGCTGCCAGAGACCAGCTCCAACTGCTCATCCTGCTGCTCCACAATCAGCTGATGCCAGAGAAATGGGAAACAAGCAATTAAAATCCATCTTACCTGGTTCCAAGCCCAGCACTCTAGCAGCTGCTAGCTTCTTTGCCAACTTGGGACAATTCTCATTCAGAAGCAAAGCTCAGAAATAAAAGGACCAGACCGGCGCCTCCAAGAACACACTGCTCAAAAGGCTGGATTGTCAAGCTTCTGATATCTCCTGCTGATCCAACTTGTGAACAGTCAGTGGGGCTTAAAACCACCAAGAGAGATTGACTCTGGTTGGCTGGAGTCCAACAAGGGAAGAGACAATGGCAAGAGCACCTGTGCAGTGGCCACTGCGACATGAGGATGCTGGGAAGCGGAAGCCCACTGCCAGGGTCAAGATCTCAATCCACAACAGACTTAAACACAAGAGAGTCTGGCAGAGCTCTGGACGTGGGAAAACTACACACACAGAGTCCTTTCCTCCCTCCTCAAGGACACACCAGAGGCAGCCCCATGACAGTAAGTTACCTCAAGGACAACTGCTGAATGATAAATACTTAATTTAATTGTGTGGTAGCCTCTTCACTTTTTGTTTAAATAAAAAGTTTGCTTGGTTAATAGCAATTTAAGCAGACAACTGGTTAAGCAAACATGCTAATGGCAAAAGAACATATAACCTATATAAAACAGATACATAAACATAATATTTAAGAACCAATAGTGTCAATGGGTAGATAACCCTCAAATCCTCAGGTATATTGTTATACCTTTTATCACTACAACTACACATCAAAAGCAACAGCACTGCCTGGCCGGGCGTGGCTCAGAGGTTGAGCATTGACTTAGGATCCAGGAGATCATGGTTCGATTCTTGGTCACAGCACATGCCCAGATTTCGGGCTCGATCCCCAGTCAGCGGCGTGCAGGAGGCAGCCGATCAATGACTCTCTCATCATTGATGTTTCTCTCTCTCTCCCTCTTCCTTTCTCTCTCTGAAATCAATAAAGATATCTTAAAAAAAAAAAAGCAACAGCACAGACATAAGTCAACTTCCCTTTTACCCTTCACATCCACTCAAGCAATCATTTTTATGTATATCAGAACCAACAATAATTTTCAATGAAAAAATTAGGTCTCAATTTTTCTGAAAGTGTACCTTTGTTGAAATGAACAAAAAACTGAGTATACAGAGTGGAAGCTGGGGAAGAGGGGTCCTTTTGTTTGTTTTAAAATCAGTGGCCTTGTCTGTCAGTTTCGGAGGTCTAGCCTGCTTTTCCTAAGAGACCTAATCAAGCCTGGCTCTCTTGAAACAGCCGTGCTCTACGGGAGGCTTTAGAAAGCCACACTACATGCAATCAGGGGACAGGCAGACACAGGCAGCCGCAGGGCAAGCTCTGGTCCAGCCTGCCTGTCATTAGCAATAAAGCCTCCTGGCTGGCGGGGGAGGGAGAGGGGGTGCCCGCCTCCACGCCTCTGTCCTCAGCAGCGGGTGCCCAGTACCTGTTGCTGGGCCTGCTGCTCCTCGATGAAATGGGAGTTGGCTAATTGGAGCTCGCGGTCAAGGCGCCCGTATTTATCTGGGGTTCCAGTGCTCCACTTCTGGCCACCGCCACTGTCTCCCAGCAGAGCCTGCGTGATCGGGCAGGGGGGTAGCCGGCAAGGGAAACAAACAATTACTATCTCTGAACAAGTGCTCCATCAGGTGACATAGAGTTCCCCCACTGCTCACCGTCTACTTCCCCTGGGCCACCTTTACATAGCAGTGTACGTTGGACCCCGCGTGGTCCCATTTAAGGGATGCCAAGTCTCCATGCTTTCCCAGTGGGACTCACAAANCAGTGTACGTTGGACCCCGCGTGGTCCCATTTAAGGGATGCCAAGTCTCCATGCTTTCCCAGTGGGACTCACTGGGCTTTGTCCCATTAAAATGCAAATAAATGTGGACTTTAAATCAACAAACATCCATCTGTACACAGCTTTACAATCCGAAAGCATTCAGTCTCTAGGACAGCTCTGCCTAGCACCCTCGGAAGTTCAGCAAAGACCCACAAGTTCCAGACTAAAGATTACAGAGATCTAGAGTCCTGTGATCCAAGAGATTTTTGTTTTTTTGAAGGGGGGTGGGGGAAAGATTTCTAGAATGACAAGAAGTTAAGTCATAGTCTCACACACGGAAGGCACAAGAACCATCAGTGTCTGTTCAATTTAAACCATGAATAAATCCCAATGCCCATTACTTGAACTAAAAGGCTACAAGCGTCACAGACAGGAACTGGGCATTGCTGCACCAGGCAGGTGCGGCCACAATGGGTGCCTGACCCTAATAGCCGGGCAAGTGCTGGCCCTGGGTCAGAATCACCGCCAGGGCCCCCAGATACCAGAGGCAGGCTCCCCAGTAGGAAGAGAAAGTTTGTAGCCAGAAAAAGGTAAGTTTGGAACTGTCTCTGTACATGAAGAGGCTGCAGGAGTGCAAGCGCAGTCTGGGCAGCTGGCTGACCGGCATCCCAGCAGGCCCCTCGCCAGCTGGTCAGAGTGCGCGCTCACGTCAGGCCCACACGAAGAACCAGAGCCTGCTGGTGACTAAGGTTCCTTACAGAGTTGCCAGATCTTCTTACCAGCTACTTTTTATCTCTGGAACTGTTAAAAGACTCACTGATTACTTGGTTCTTTGTCTAAAAAAGCCCTCCAGCAGCCCCCAATACCAACAGTGACCTCGCTTGACTTTCAGAGGTGAATTCAAACATCACAGTCAGGGGCCAGGCTCAGGGAAGCTCGGGATACAGGGCGTAATTCTAGGCGGTTATGAGAAGAGGGAGAGGATGGCTGAGAGCCTCCACAGGCCAGCGCCTCAGTCTAATCAAGAGGCCGATGGTGACTGTCTCAGGTACAGAGCAGACCATTTGCTGGTTCTGATACAAAGACTCTAAGGACCTCTATGGAGGACACTGGTGCCCAGTGATAATTTTTTCAAGATTAGGAAAAGGCTATAATGCATCGTTAGGCCATGGACAGAGAACTGGGGCTCCCTGGGGGCTTGTGTGCTCCTGAGGCCAGAGTCAGGGCTATTTTTTCTAGCTTATCCATGGTCTACACTTACGGTGGACATAGGCTACGCTGTTAAGAGTTGTCTATGCTTTATTGTGCAGTACTTAGATTTCATCACTCTGACCTCCAAGAGTCTGTTCTAATGGGAAAGAAGATGGAGAGCGCCGGAAGACCAGCCTGTGCGTAGGTGCCAGAGGGGGAGGTCCTGGCTAGGCAGCGAGGAGCAGGCACCGGGGACTGGCCCGGGGCAGCACGGGGGACTCTGCCTGCGTGAATGCTTACGGAACCCTGGCCCTGCTAGTCCTTGACAATCTGTGGCTTCAAGACATTTCACTCACCGCCCAAAACAAAATTCCAAGCCATACTTGGAAAGGCAACTATAAATGCACATTTCATTTGTTAGTTCAACTGTACTGTCTGGAGATTAGGTACAACAGAGGGTAGGTGTCACCTATCTCACTGTCACAGGCAGGTAGACAGGAAGAATAAAAACAACCTGAAAAATGAAATGCAGGGAAGGGACACAGGAAAATTAAGTGAGGTGACACTTGGAGAGCCCCCTCTCCTTATTTGAGCTTTTATATTTATTTTCAAAATTATCAGTGGGTCAAGAAACACCCACAGGTATAAAGTAGGAATTTATATTATGAACTACTGATTCCTAGTTAGTTAAAAATGGTGAGTTGATTTCTTGAGTTGACAGTCTGATAACCTAAAGTTACTATAGGTAACTTTATGGAGTCTGAATAAAATCTAAATCAAGTCTACATTTTAGGTGACTGTTGTATATTTTTTTAAAAAGGACTGTATTTTTATTAGTTGGAAAGGAATTTCTATCATACACTAAAGTGTCTAATTTTAAAAATATAACAAATTCAAGAATTGGTCTCTTGCAGCTTTTATTTTAGATGTGTCAATACCTGTCCTTTGGTTTCAGATATGTATTAGGTCATAATTTATTTGTCATAACTGATAAAAACTGGACCTTATCTCAAAAAAAAAAGGATACTTAAAATGATGAAAGATTTAATTTAACACATTAAATTCACACACATTTAAGATTTTTCAAATGTCTTTCACTTTATTTTAAATTTCATAAAATTTCAGTTATTAAATATCTAGTGATTTCTAAGAGGTATGCAATCTAATAGCAGCTAGAAATTTAAAACAACAACAAAAAACATGACACAATCCCTCCTCACTCTCAAGGAGCCTGGGGTTCAGCAGAAAAAAAGACAAGTAACTAAGCAATTACAGCCCTTAACAGAACCTGGCACACAGAATGTGCCCAGCAGGAGCAGAATAAATGGCTGTGTGGTAAGAGCTGGAATAAGCACAGAGCACTAGGAAACCCAGAGGAGGGAAGCAGAGGGTGGGAGGGAGGGAGGCAGGGGCAGCTGACCATGGAGCAGGGCAGGATGATGACCGGCCTTTTACAAAACTACCAGCCTCCCTCCAGGCTCAGCAGGCACAGGGCTTCTGCTGCGTCCCTGATACACAGATGTCAGCATTTTAAAATTCCAGCATCTAACTGTGTATTTCTTTGATTTGATATTCTACATTCAGACGTTTCCTCACCTGTCTGTTTTTCCTTTCAGCTAGTGCCTGCACAGATGACGCTGACATCTGATCCTTCATGTCCTAATGAGGTAAGGAGAGATCAGAAGACAACTGAATATCCTTGGATGAAACAAAGTCGTGGTTAACATTTTGTACACTAGCAAAATACGCATAACTTATCCCTTTTTTTTTTTTTTAAACAAAAAGAGCATTCTTTGGCTTTTTTCAGTCTCAAAATTAAAGGAAATAAAGAGAACAATTTTCCCTTAAAAAGAGGTAACCTGGATGCTAAATTTAATTCAGAGAAAAGAGGAAAGGAACTTGTATTTCCTGGGAACCTACCATAAGCCAGAAACACTTAAAGGCTTGTGCACATTGTCACTGAATTTTCAGGACGACCCCGTGAAGCTGGCATTATCTCTATTTCACAGCTGAAGCGACTGAGATCTAGAAAGGCTTAGGGTACTTCTCAAGGTCATATAGTCAGAAAACTGCAACCTTGGGGCTCAGACACAAACGTCTGTGCTCAGGAGCTAGCATTTTTAAGTATAATACATGTGAAAACCCATGTACTTGATGATAATTACCACTCAACACCTGCTAAAACTCTGAAATAGTGATACGACAAACAGGTCACTTATTTTTGAGTTGGATTCATGTGAAGTATAGACTATTTCTAACACCAGTGTGAATTTCCAGAGTGGTATCAGAAACAATTTTTGTGAAAAGAAAAATGAATGGCCCATTACTTATAATGAAGAAAAAAATATTTTGTTAAATATGAGCCATTCTGCTTATCAACTGTAACCACAATCCCATATACGTGAAAATGATTTGAACTAAGTACATAATTACTGGAGTACCATTTTTCTTTAAGGCTGCCAAAATACTTTATAATTTCCTGTTGGCCAGTAGGCTACATATAGATGCAAATGTTGAGGTGTTAGGCTTTTAGAAACTTCTTCTAAGACCCATGACAAGTGAATGGTCGACCAGACAGTGCCCCAGCTTTCGAAATTCCTACTGTGGGAAGCCTGAGTGGTAACCACGTTGCTTCAACTTTCAAAGTACCCATTACTTCCTTCTCTTCTATAGGACTTCAGTTAGACTTTATTTAAATTAAAACAAGACTGATAAAAACCCTGAAGAGTTCAGCTGGATCATGTAGAGCTGAGTATGGTTTAGATCTCACCTCCAGAAGCTACGACATTATGATGCATGGACTTGACTTAGAACACTTCTTTCAAGGACTGCACTTTAAACAACTTTTCTGATATCGGAAAACAAACTTTGGATTCTACTTCCAGTTATATCAACTAACTTAACATTTAATATATTAACCTCTGAATTTCAATTTGCAAAATTTGTAAGTACAGCCTTTCAGAAAGAACAACTTTAATAAACAAGGTCAAGAAATATGTGTTTCACTGCAAGGCACCATTTAAATACCAACATCTACAGAAGTGTTCTTCAGAAAATCTACTACAAAAAATAAAACAGCAAAGTGTATTTATAAAATAAATAATGGGGGATTATTTACCTTATCAAACCATATATCACCAAACAATGGGGCTTCCTTATCAGAATAGCTTTCTGAACTGGCTAGAAATCAGGATTGTCTAATCCAAATGCTCATTATATCGACAGGGGTGCACCAGAGGTCCAAAAAGGTTACTGCCCCATTAAAATGTTTATATACAATTTAGACATATGTATATAGAAAGGCAACTAATGAATAAAATGAGAAACAAGAGTATTTCAAATTCAGTGATAATCTACCATTTGAAATGATTTTAAAAGTAAATCACATGATACAAAGTCTTTGGCAAACATGTACCAAGGTTCCTGCCTAAGAGGACTCTTAAAAAGCCATATGTTAGCACTGATATGATCCCAAGATTTTTATTCAAAGAAGCTGCTTTCTAGTACATATGTTCAAGACAGCTGGTTCTCTTACATCTAGTTATGCTAATCAAATGGCTTAGCTATAGTTTCAAAATACAAACATATCTTAATGATAAAAGATTTGACTTAAATGCTATTTTCTCTAAGGTTTTTAAACAATAGGTTATTTTCTAAATAATTGGAGACTAAATATTTGTTCACTTGTGCCAGTTTTTGCACTCTGATAGATGCCTGCTTGCTCTGGGTAACTCCTGAAAGCCTGTCAAGCAGTGTATATGGAAATGTCAGTGACAAGGTGGCGAGAGCTCCAGAAGCTGAAATTCAGATGGTGAGAGGCCGCCATCCAAACCCAGCAGTCACTCTTAACAACGCAAAGTGATCACCGATCCATCAGGAAACCAAATGGATTCTATAAAGTAATCCTTCCTTTGGCCCAGATACGTAGTACAGTAAAAACTAAAGAGGTTAGAAAACTGGTTTGGAGGAAAGAAAGGTATGGACAAGTAGAGATCACTGAAGTAATTTCCCAAAGCCAGCAGTCGACTCTCATTTCTGCTCTAAGAAATACGCCCGATACTAAAGATAGATTTTTTATTTTCAATAGAGAAATTCTATGAGGGAAACCGGCATTTAATTCATAAGAAGAAGTAGTTCCCTTATAACTAAGGGAAAGAGTTCTGAGAAGTGTGGCTATTTCCTTCACAAACAGCACAATCAGGTTGTATCTCTTACCCTGACAACTTGCCGAGTACTTGTGATGAAGGATTTTCTTATACTCAATTCGGTTGCATCGAGATTGAATTTTCTAGGATTTGCTTCAACTATGCGTGGGTCAAAAAGTCAAGGTAAAGCCATGTCATCATCACAAGCCTCACAAACCACATCACATTAGACCACAGAATCTCTCACGGGCAAGCAGTGAAGTCTGGCCCAAGGCTTCTGAAAAAACAGTCAACTTAACACTAATTGTGCTCAGACACTTGCGTGGCTCCCTGGGCTTTCCCCTCTTGGTCTGCAGGATACATTTGTGCTAGAGTCTGATCACTGTCGTCCCCGTGAGCCCCTCTCCACCCCGCACTGCCATTCCGTGAGGGCTGGTAGTTTTGCTTCTCAGTCCAGCCTCGGTCCTGACGCAGTGTCAGCACCTGGTCCGTTCCGCAGCTGCCCGCTGGTGGATGAATATTTAACAACACGTCTGTCCTCTCTCATCATTTCTCCCGATCTTTTTCTCTTCCCTCCTGTCTCAAGGGAAGATGCATCTTCCTGTAGCTGTGCTTTTGATCCCACCCTCTCACATATTTTGTTCCACTCATTTTAGAGAACGCACTTGTCTTCTCATAATTTAAAAGGCACCCGGGGTCATTATGAATGGAAATGAGGCACTTCACACGGCGCCTGCAGGTGACCCTGTGCTGACTACGGAGTGGTCCCGACGGAGTCTGGTTTCCTTGATGCTTTACCCACTTAAAGAAACGAGCAAAATGGAACTCAGAACATGCAACTGGCATGCCTTCAATCTAAAGTTATGATTAAGTGGGATTTTTCCAGTGGAAGAGGCCACATCATTTCGGCTTCTATAGTGCTCTGGTGTGTCAGTCAGATTGGTGGACTTACTGAACATAACTTAGCATAACAGGTCTGCTTTTATTAAATGCTGTTCCATGAAAAAAGATGCCTCTCCAGTGGACACTGGCATTGTCACATCGCTTCTTAAACAGGAAAAGGCAGTCTACAAAAGGATTTCCTTCTGCGCTCTAATTACCACTGTGTAACACTGGTCTGTATGCACCTCTGTGCAGTAATGAAGCTCACTGGGTGTCGGGCACCATTCTAAGCTAACTGTTAAACTTTCAACAACCCTATGAACTAGGTACTACTATTATCCAAACTTTCTACTGAAAGCAAACTAAAGCACTAAACAGTGTGCTCAAAGTCACACTGTTAGTAACCGGCGGAGCCAGGACTTGAACACACGTTGTGACTCCAGGGTCTGAGCACATAACCACTGCTCTGTGCTGCTCCGTGTTGCAGGACCTGCCATGCACTGGAGACTTTGGCTACTCTACCTTGGCTTACTGGGCAATTATTTTAAGTGAGTCATGGTCCAAATAACAACATCAATAAATTATAAAAGAAAATGCCCGATCAATGTGCTTAACACATCTGGATAAAAACTTGTTCATTTGTCTGTTTGCCCCAAATGGCACAGACAGCACAGAAAAGGATATTGATGGTTTCGTCAAGGTCCTCTAGGTCCCACTCTATGCTCCGGAGGTTGTTTCTCAGCTCGTTGGTGGTCCAGTCGATTTCCTCCCTCGTGGCTGTGGAGGGGTCTTGGAGGAGCTCTGTCCATCTCTGAAACAATCCCTGGGCAGTGTTGACGGCTTTCTGTACCTCTCTGTAATCAACATAGGAAGGAGTCACAGACAACATGTTCCATGAACAAGTTCCTGCATGACTTACGTTAACTTTATGGTCACACACCATCCTCAGCAGCAACCACCACTCCCCAAAGTGCATTAAAGTCTTTATAGAAGGCCCTTCGTGGACAAATACCAAAGTTCAAAACTCTAAAGTAACAGTCTAAGTATTATATTCTCAGCTGAGGTCCAGAATAAAATAGCCATTATTTAAACAGCTCTAATATCAAGTCTGTTTGAGGACAAAAATTTTATTATGCTCCAAACAGACTATGCTTAACACAGTATTAGAAACAATCCTGCAAAGTAAAGGGCCATTAACATTTCTTCCTTGGGAGGGGGTGTGTGAGGGGGAAGTAAAAAGGGTGGAGGAAGGGTTCCTCTTACTCAGCTAATCTTTTAGAGGTTAAATATTTTCATTTGGGACATTTTAAAACTCCAGATCTCATTAGAAGATTCCCAACATTATTAGCTTTAAATACATCCACGTTCCTGGACTGAGCAATGCTGTCGAGCAGATTGGCGTGTTTCTTGGTCAGACAGGGACTAGGCCGTAAGTGCTATGATCTAATATTCTTTTAGATACTATCACAAGGTTTTAAAAACTTTCCCCCCACCATTGGGTCAATATGCACCAGATAAACATTATAATCTAACACTACCACACAGAGAAGCCAAAAAAGTAGCTATTTTATAATCACATGGTCTCTTGTGTACAAAGATAATAACTTTACTGCTCCCAAACTAAGAGCTCTGTCCTGATTCTTCTGTGAGCTCTGAACCAAGTCTTCTGCGTGCTCAATCAGGGTGCTTGTTGTCTGTAGCTTTAAAACTAAATGTGCACGCATCCTATTCCCACTGACGTTTCAAGAAGAGACAGCACTAACAAAAACGAAGAAAAGTGTCTAATAGTATTTCGTCTGTGGAAAACTGATGAGCAAAAAGGATGAGTGTTGAATAGAGATCATATAGCTGCTGGGCCCAGGCTGAAGAAACCACTGGGCCCCCGGCCCACGTGCATCTACCAAGTACGAGCACATTCGGTTTACATGTCGGTCAAGTGCTCTCCCTGTTCCTCTCCCACTGGCCTTTACTTTCAGTCCTAATGAGAAATCCTACTTGAGACACCTCACTAAGGAAGTGAGATGTAAATCCACTATCTTTACTCTTTATTGAGGTTTCTGGCTGATTTGGTGGAAAAAGAGGTACACATTTTCCCATAATATGAAGCACTTGGTTCATCTGTAAGTGTGGAATGTCATCTATGATAATGGAAGACAGTTAAAGAGGGATCTAGAACAATATCTCGTCTTAAAGAATATAAAATTTATCAATTCTGTAAGGTAAATAAAAATTCCCCTTTGAGAAGTAGGAACCTCAAACCCAGGAAGCTTCAGGCTCGGGCACACCGCGTCCCCACCACTGGGGCACGGCCACGATCCTGGAATCAGTTTCTTAAGTAGCAACCATGGGTTTTTGTCTGAGGGCTCCTTTGTACTCTTCATAATTATTGAAGACTCCGAAGAACTTCAGTTGATATAGAAATTCGAACAGGCATTTAAAAATATTTACCAATTAATTAAAAATTACAATGAATGTGTTACTATATGTTAACACATTTTCGTAAAAACAGACTTCTAAAAAAATGAGAAAGGCACTGTTTAATATTTTTATTCTTCAATATCTGGTTTAACAAAAGACAGCTGGGTTTTCATATCTGTTTTTACATTCAGCCTGCTGACATACGTTTCGGTTGAGTCTATGATGAAAATCCAGCCTCATAAAGATATGTAGCTGGGAGAGGAAGGAGTATTTTAATTGTTTTTGCAGATAACTGTGGACCAAAGCACGACAAATGGCAGTTTCTTAAACTCTCACAGGTTTAAGCTGAAGACTCCCCAACTGCATTTTCAACCCTCACCACTGACCAAGGATTAGCTCCTATATTTTCGCTGCTTAAAACCAAATGAACCATGCCCTCCCTACAAAAAAGGCTAGAATGCAAACAAAAAGATAAAACGGGGGTTAAAAATCTGCTTCCTTCCTAACTTCCTGTTTTGGTAAGTAGGGCCACTATTTTCCAAGATTCAAAACTTGTCTAGACAGGCGTCATCGTTGACTCTTCCTCTCACTTCTCACCTTGCACAACCTCTACTGAGGCCCAATCACCGGCGTTTGGATTTGGAAGGAACTTTCAAGATAACTCGTCTGCACTCATTGAGCAAGTAAAAGAACTGGGGCTCAGCCATCTTGGCGGCTTGCCCCGAGTCCTTCTGACTCTAAGTATGGGGCACTTTTACTAAGACCTGTTCGATTGCATCTTTGCTAAGCCTCCCGACAAATGGATCTTCTCTGTGGACTCAGAGCACCTGGGCTTGAGCCCTGAGAAGTTGTTTGACCACAGGCAAGTGAACAGTAACTGCGAGTGAAAACCGCCTCCTGGTTAAGAATTTATGATAGGAAACAGATTAAATTTAAACTCCTAGGCTGGGTATTCCACGCCTCCCTTCCCCCAAGCTGGCAGACCTTAATATCCAACCTGATTTCTCACTAAAACAAATTTGGTTTCAGTTGGCAGGCCATCTTCCCACCCTCCCTTTTCTCATCCCTGGCTCCAGACTTTTGTGCACGTTTCCCCAGCCCGGGAGAGTCCTTACACCTCTGCAAATGAAAAGCAGGCATTTCCTTAAGGCCCAGACTGAGACCCTACTTGTGTCACTACAGTGTCCTTGACCAACACTCCTACTCAGGGTCTTGCCTTTTTTCAATCTCCATGGCACCTCAACTCCATTCCAAAATCTTACACACAATGCACATTGTCTTCTCCTTCGCTCCTCAGACTCTGCACAGTGTTCTCCCAACCAGACTACAGTCTCAGGAGCCAAATATAGCGCCAGGCATTCAATACTTAGAACCAATGTTTGCAACATTGTTTTGACAATGAAACATCTGATTCTGATTTTTAAAAAGTAGGAAATGAGATATGACTTACATCCAATTGTACTGGACTAAAGTTCCTCTGCAAATAAGAATTGTTTTTCCACAGTGACTAGACCAAGTTTTCTGTGCACTGTGGGCGGCATACACAGTGCTTGCCTTCAAGGGGCTCATATTCTAAAAGGCTCTACGTACAGATAAGAGATGCTGAGAGGGTAACATAGCATAACACGTACCATCCTGCTCACTGCTTACTTATGCCATTGTCTCAACACTGATCCACAGCCGAGAGCCTGGAAATAAATCTACGGTGGGAGAGGGCATGGACATGAACTAGGGTAGAGGAACCAAAGCCAGAGCATTAGAGAAGATTCCAGAGGTGTCCTTGTGATGGCACCAGTAGAAGACGACGGCCGAGAGTGTGGAGTGGGGCGTAAAGAGGGCTGAGAGGGACACCGGCGCCCAGCGCCTGGAGGCCGGAGGAGCGGGAGGCACCCGCCCCAGCGCATGGGGGACAAGCAGTAATTGGCAGGAAGGAGGAAAGCTCTCGAGGGCGCTGCACTAGGGGGACTGGGGTACGGGAGGTGCACAGACACACAGGAACAGTGAAGGTCCCAGCGAGAACACGGAGGAGCCGCCGGCGAGGCCGCACTGAAGGGATGGGGCGAGGAGCAGCAGAGCTGGGAGGATGAGGCCCGGAGCGGGAGTCACACCACGGTGACCGTCAGCACCAGGCAGGGCCACGCTTGCCCTCAGAGGAACCGCACCCCCCACCGCACCCAGCTGTGGGCTTTCGTCCTCCGTGCTCTGGACAAGACTTCAACGGTGTCGCAAGTGAGCCTCCAACACGCAGGCGGCCGTCACTGTGCACTAAGACAGCTTTCCAACGGGCCTCCTTTTTTATCTTCCCTCAGACCGATGTATCCAACCCGACGACCAAATCGGCATTCCTAAGACCGGACTTCATGTCCTTTCTCTGCTTAAAAGCCTCCGGTGGCCTCAAGATAAGACCCTCCTTGACCCTATTCTACCTTGCACCGTGAAGGTTAACACCATGAGAAGACGAGGCAGTGCAGATTTGAGTGCTGGGTCCACCACTCGCTAGCTGTGCAGCCCTGGGCAAGCAGCTTCACCCGTGTCTTCCCTCAGCTCCGCAGCCCTAAAATGTGGCCAGTCTTATAAAGTGAAACCCTTATACAGTGCTTACGTAGCACACAATGCCTGGCATAGGAGTGGCATCCTTGAAGCGTTAGCCATTATTATTATTACTCCCCAAATAAACTCCCTACTCCCCCTGGGATATTTGCCCTGAGGATTTCTAAACAAACAATACTCATCTCAGGGCCTTTGCTGCTGGCGATCCCACCCGTGAACCACCACCAAAGAGTACTCATTCAACATATGTTAAATATCCAAGGTGCTAGGCTGGAAATACAGGAAAAATAAACAGTCCCAACCCTCACAGCTCATAATCTAATAATGAAAGACAGAGAAAGAGGTGCAATAATGTGTTACAGGTGCCAAGGGAAGCACTTCCTGGAGACAGGGGAGACGCTGACACCAGAGATCCGAGTGGGTGGATCAGGCAGAGCAGGGGCACGGAGTAGGAGCATCCAGTGCTGTGGTCAAGGTCATGGTCACATGTGACTACTGATGCTTGAAATGCCCTAGTGTGACTGAGGAGCTAAAATTTTAAATTAATTTAAATTGAGAAACTAATACATAATTCAGTTACTGGAAAATTTTAAAGTATGCTTGGAACAATTGGGTATGTGACTCTACTTTCTCAATTCTAAGTTTAATAAACTCTAAATACAGATAAGTATTTCTGATGAAAATTTAGCATTTAAATTGAGATGTGCTGTAAGTACAAAATACGCACCAGATTTTGAAGACTTAGTACAAAAATGTAAAATATCTCAATAATCTTTACTGATCAATCACATGTTGTAATATTTTGTGCCTATTGGTTGAATATGACATTAAAATTAATTTTGCCTGTTTATTTTTACTTTTTAATGTGGCTACTAGGAAATGTGAAATGGCATATATGGCTCCCCTTGTATTTTGGAGAGCACTGATCCAATACAACCAATGGTGGATGACAGAGGAAAGAGAACAGGAGCTGGAAGACCAATGAGAGATTCTTTGATAAGAGTCCAGATGAGACAGGCCTGAAAAATCTAAATTCTACTCATCTTCAAAACCTAATTCAAGACTTTTACTACCTCTGAAAGCTTTTCCAGTCATAACCATCCCTAATGAGTCACCTTTCTCCAAACTCCTGGGGCACTTATCTTTTGTGGCATTCACTTCAGCACTTCATTTACCACCTGTCATTTCTACTTAAGTTTTTTGAGGTCAGTTGTTTCTCAGATTAGACTGTCAGCTCCTAGGGTAAGGGCCACAATCTAAGCATCTTTAATTTTTCCATATTGTGTGATGCATTTTCAGTACTTTTAATGAACAGAGGTATATAGCTTCCCAAATACTCCCTCACATATACAGTCTGGAGACACCTATGTGGCTAACTTTCCCTATGCACAGCAGAAGATATTGGTAGTCTCATTTCCTTCAGGCACATTAAGAACAATTAAATGATGTCAAAATCAACCAAGACTCCAGGCCGCTGTTCCCATAAAGCAGTGTTAACTAATCAGTGAGCAAACATCAGGAGACTACAATGGATACTCTCAGGAAATAAAAAATGTCAAGATGGCAGACGATTTAACATTTTCACAAATTCCATTGAAAATCAAAAGATTTCTGATTCTCTCTGGTCTCCACTGCCAGAGATAACCTTTGCAACCTAAGCATTAAGAACTTTCATTCAGGGGCAATCACACATCCCTAAATCAATCCTTCTAATAACACATTTTCCAGGTAGAAAGTTACATATTACTCAAAAAAACCCAAATCTACAACTTAACATTTTCCCATCTAAATTAAAGTAAGGCGAAGAAAAACCTTTTAAGGGAAATGTTATGGATGATAAACTATTTCACCTAAAGCACCATTTAAATTTTCTAAGAACGCTTGAAAAAAAAAAAAGAAACACCCAGGCACCAGGTCAACTTTCACTACCTCAGAAACAGGAAGCTAGTAGCAACTAGTTGAAAGCAAAGGGACACTGTATGGTTACTAATACTGATCTTCTGGGAACTTTGTAGTTCTCAGATTTATATGTTTGACATTTGAAACATAAAGCTGGCAAGTTGTAACAACCTCAGAATCCATCCACCTTGCATTTGTTTAATGGCTACAAAGCTGATGCAGTAACAAAGTGCAATTAAAGTTTCTATCTCCAAACAATCCAGCAATCAAAGATGGAGTCAGGACAGCTCAAAGGGAAAAAAAACAAGTGAGCAAACCTGTCAAATAGCCTGGGTGAAATCAGGGAGTTGAAAAGAAAGCACTCATTTCCTTTAGCACTGTGGGAAAATCCCGGTGCTAACAGAAAGCCGAGGAAAGTTTAGTTTGGCTGAATTCATTTTGTTTTCCTTCCAACATCATCACTGAGCATGAACGAATGCTTTCCTCCTGTCCCATTACTCAGTAAAAACTCCCCCACTGAATTGAGCTGCCTTCCGGAGCCCTGCACCCCAGNTGGGGGACAAGCAGTAATTGGCAGGAAGGAGGAAAGCTCTCGAGGGCGCTGCACTAGGGGGACTGGGGTACGGGAGGTGCACAGACACACAGGAACAGTGAAGGTCCCAGCGAGAACACGGAGGAGCCGCCGGCGAGGCCGCACTGAAGGGATGGGGCGAGGAGCAGCAGAGCTGGGAGGATGAGGCCCGGAGCGGGAGTCACACCACGGTGACCGTCAGCACCAGGCAGGGCCACGCTTGCCCTCAGAGGAACCGCACCCCCCACCGCACCCAGCTGTGGGCTTTCGTCCTCCGTGCTCTGGACAAGACTTCAACGGTGTCGCAAGTGAGCCTCCAACACGCAGGCGGCCGTCACTGTGCACTAAGACAGCTTTCCAACGGGCCTCCTTTTTTATCTTCCCTCAGACCGATGTATCCAACCCGACGACCAAATCGGCATTCCTAAGACCGGACTTCATGTCCTTTCTCTGCTTAAAAGCCTCCGGTGGCCTCAA